ATTTAATCAAGAATGATAGAATACAAGATTGGGCCAATTAGAGAGGATTTTTGAGCGTAATTTTTGCGTGACGTCATCTTGGTGCAATTGCGAGAGAGAAATGCCAAAACGCATATAAAAATATGCAAACAATGCCGAAAAATGTGTTAATTTTAATATTACATGGCCCAATTTTGCAGGAATCAATAAATAAGCAAAGATTGATTAATTAGGAACACGTAGCAATAATTTTGGATGTAGGTAAGTAAGATTTTTAGCACATGAAAAAATGGATGTATTAACAGTGTTTGCAATTTCATGTAGACCAAAAGGAAGGTGTGCAGCAAAGTGAATTTTTGGACTCGCCATTGTAAAAAGCCATGCATATTTATATTTGTGGATGGTAGCCAACCACCATAAACTCCACTGCTGTTGACTCCACAGCTTTTATTTGATGACTTTTGTACCATTTCCGAGAGAATGCCTGAGTGTGACTTCTTTGGAAACAAATATTCTATGTAAGTAAAACATAATTTAAGGTGAACTTTTAAATGTATAATAATTTGGGCACTGTTTTGTATTAGGTACGTAACAGCGCGGTAAGATGCCGCTTGAATTAGCGCCTGGCGACCTTATCCACTGGTGCATTACCTCATACCAGCACTAGCCGTGGGTAACACAGTGCGGCGCCGCGCCATTGCGCTGATACCGAGAGCTGAGTTACTGGCACCGATACTGATTTTCGCAACTCTGTGACGCAATGGCGCCAGCAACACCGGAACACTAACAACACCGGGCGGTGCAAAGAACACACAAAAGCGAAGCGTCACTTGTAAAATGTGCAGCACAAGGCGAATTTTTACAAGGTGGTGTTGCTAAAATTAGCCGCGGCTCTTCTGAATGTGAAAATTATGTGTTTGTTGTATTATTGGGTTTTGAACTTGGCTTGTTTTTGCCCAACCGATACCAACTTGTATTAATTCACCTTAGTTCAACACCGGAACACTGACAACACCGGGTGTCGCAAAGAACCAGCAAAGAACACCCGAAACAGAAGTGTCTCTTGTAAAATGTGCAGCACAGCTAGAATTCGTCGCGGTCCTTCTGAATGTGAAAATTATGGGTTTGTTGTATTTTTGGGTTTTGAACTTGGGTATACTTGAGTTTTTCTCAACCGATATCACTTTGTATTAATTCACTTTGGTGCAGCGTGCAGCGTGCGGCAATAAAGGAAATAAGCTTTAGCCTGTAGAGGCGCAATTGCGCCAACACACTGTGCTGATTCCGACAGTGGCCCTGGAGTAAGTGTGTCAGCGCCAAAAAATTTGCGCCGTTACCCAGTCCTAACCAGCACTAAAAAGAATCAGGTACTAACAAAAATAAGTAGGTAGTGAAGTTCATGTATCTATTTACTGTAGAAACTGCTTTTGTATGTGTGCCATTGCCAGCAAACTAAACCAGCAACTGTCTACATTCACCATGGAAATGTACCTATTACAATTCCCCAAGGAAAGGCCAACATGGTTCCATGTAGAAGCTCATAGCTCACACACATAGCACAAAGCTCGATTTGGTGTTTAATGCATCTCCTCGCCGGCAGAACTGCTTCCACTTTTTCGCCAGGTTTGCGTCCGCAGGAAACGAAAAAAAAACGCACGCATTCCTTTTGTTTTCACTATTACACTTTGCCACTGCACACTTCGTTTTGCTTTGTAATGTCTCAATAATTGTTTAAAACCACGCAGAAATGTTAACACACAAATATTAAAATTGTTATTTAGTTTTTTCGTATGCTCACAATCAACAATTGCACCAAGATGACGTCACGCACACAGCTGATTCTGTCAAAATCACAAAGAGCGGTACCGCGATTGACGCAATCTCTATTTCTCTCAATCGTGATATTTAATAATATGCTCCGCAGTTACTGAAGACTTAAATGACGACAAATGCAACCCCTTCATGGGAGAAGCAACTGCTAATTCCGCACTCGGGTTACATCCAATAATAATTTTTCGCGTGTGCACTTTGTTGTTATTACTGATTTTGTTACCAGCATCGAGAGACATAGAACTAGAAGCAGCAGAAGAGGCAGCAGTAGCAGCGGCAGCAGCATAGGTGAGAGAACCGTCAACTGCTACGCTCTCAACACTTTATTAACGCAACCTTTCACAAGCTCATCACACTTGACTAATAATTTTGCACCAATTCTGACAAAATAACAGCTAATCATACACATGACTTTGAAAGCGCAGGGTTGAAACTTCAAATCTGTTATTTGGAAATTATCTTAGTTGATATATGTATCTACTTTTATAAAAATAACTGATATCAAGAATATATTACTATAAAAATCTTGAATTTATGCCAAAAAATCCAATTCCGGCCAGTGTGGGTTAGATAAAATATTAGTTTTTTCCAGAGTTCCTTGTTTTTCTATACCATTGCTTTTTGAAAATGTTTGCGTGTATACTTATATATATATTCTATGTAAGTAAAAAAATGTTAGCTGCCATTTTTAGCCACAACAAATTTGTTTAGCTCTTTTTAGCCCTTTTCTAAAAGGAATTTGGCTAAAACTAAAAACGATTCGCGGCAACACTGTTAAGATGTGTTAATATACATGAAAATAGTATAAAGTGAGCAGTAAAATAAAGCACCCTCGTACAGTGTTTCTTAAGAGTATAGGAACGCTGACGGTTGAAAACAGTGTTGCCACGGACAAATTTTTTTTTCCAACCAAACTCAACCAAAACCTACCAAAATTTTATTTAGGTTTTTTATATTTTTTTTATGTCAAGTTTATTAAAAATGTAGATAACACAACATTTAGAAAAACTAAAACACAGAATGTAACGGGTGATTTTTTTGAGGTTAGGATTTTCATGCATTAGTATTTGACAGATCACGTGGGATTTCAGACATGGTGTCAAAGAGAAAGATGCTCAGTATGCTTTGAAATTTCATCATGAATAGACTTACTAACGAGCAACGCTTGCAAATCATTGAATTTGATTACCAAAATCAGTGTTCGGTTCGAAATGTGTTTCGCGCTTTACGTCCGATTTATGGTCTACATAATCGACCAAGTGAGCAAACAATTAATGCGATTGTGACCAAGTTTCGCACTCAGTTTACTTTATTGGACATTAAACCAACCACACGAATGCGTACAGTGCGTACAGAAGAGAATATTGCGTCTGTTTCTGAGAGTGTTGCTGAAGACCGTGAAATGTCGATTCGTCGCCGTTCGCAGCAATTGGGTTTGTGTTATTCGACCACATGGAAGATTTTACGCAAAGATCTTGGTGTAAAACCGTATAAAATACAGCTCGTGCAAGAACTGAAGCCGAACGATCTGCCACAACGTCGAATTTTCAGTGAATGGGCCCTAGAAAAGTTGGCAGAAAATCCGCTTTTTTATCGACAAATTTTGTTCAGCGATGAGGCTCATTTCTGGTTGAATGGCTTCGTAAATAAGCAAAATTGCCGCATTTGGAGTGAAGAGCAACCAGAAGCCGTTCAAGAACTGCCCATGCATCCCGAAAAATGCACTGTTTGGTGTGGTTTGTACGCTGGTGGAATCATTGGACCGTATTTTTTCAAAGATGCTGTTGGACGCAACGTTACGGTGAATGGCGATCGCTATCGTTCGATGCTAACAAACTTTTTGTTGCCAAAAATGGAAGAACTGAACTTGGTTGACATGTGGTTTCAACAAGATGGCGCTACATGCCACACAGCTCGCGATTCTATGGCCATTTTGAGGGAAAACTTCGGAGAACAATTCATCTCAAGAAATGGACCGGTAAGTTGGCCACCAAGATCATGCGATTTGACGCCTTTAGACTATTTTTTTGTGGGGCTACGTCAAGTCTAAAGTCTACAGAAATAAGCCAGCAACTATTCCAGCTTTGGAAGACAACATTTCCGAAGAAATTCGGGCTATTCCGGCCGAAATGCTCGAAAAAGTTGCCCAAAATTGGACTTTCCGAATGGACCACCTAAGACGCAGCCGCGGTCAACATTTAAATGAAATTATCTTCAAAAAGTAAATGTCATGGACCAATCTAACGTTTCAAATAAAGAACCGATGAGATTTTTTGCGTTTTTTTAAAAAAAAAAGTTATCAAGCTCTTAAAAAATCACCCGTTACAATAAAAACAAATTAACAACGAATAACAATTCATTTTACTGTACAGACTTACACAAATGTTTGTCTCTTTACACATCTATCTATTGTGCTTAACCCTAATTATAATTACTCCAACCTTATTCTTTTTAAGAAGTTAGGCACTTTGGGGGGCGCCATGTTTAAAATTTTGGATGAAGAAGACAATCGTTCCCTAATGTGTGTCAGTCTGCTATTTATGATACGTGGGCAGTCACATAGTATATGCTCTGAGGTTTCTTCCACTAGCTCACAAAAGGCTAGGGACCATGCAAGTGCATTTGGGCAAACCTTCTGCCTTTTTAAAAGAGTCTAAGGCCTTTAACCTGCCTGATTATCCGACATAATATTTAATTTGGCCCCAAATAGAAAAAAACCTACCAGTTTTGGTAGGAAAAGCCAATGTTTGGCAACACTGGTTGAAACTGCATTTTAAAAGCTATAGTAAGATATGTGAACAAACCCTAAATTTATTAAAACCTATTTCCAATCCGAATGGAATTTGGTAAGCCAGTAAAGGCATAGGGTGACACCGACAAGTCCCTATCGTTAACCTAAAGTATGTATGTATGTATGTTAGTAAGGCTCTATCGGCACATTTTTCTATTCCTTTGCAATCAAAAACTTAGGCAAAAACAGAGTTCTTTAGTTGCGAGTAGCTTTCAAGCACTTGTTTTTAACACCTGTAACTTATTTAATGCTTTATTAATTGTTTTTTAAATTTTATTAGGTTTATAGGTGCTAACCTACCGACTATTACATAATACTAGATTTCAAATGAAATGAGTTAGGGCATTTCTATATGAAGATAACGATATATACATATGTATAGAGATTGAACAACCGTTACCTTTATGTTTTCGCGGATCGCCATCCTTTTTTATATCGTTGATACTGTTGTTGCTTCCATTTGCGTTGCTGTTGATGTTAACATGACTATTTTCATTATTATAAAGAAAGAGCGCCGTTGATGTTGGCGGCGGAGGCGAAGGCGGTGTTGGGCTGTGCAATGGGTCATGTGTATTGATGAAATTCGCCAAGTAAAGGTCTAGTTCACGAACAGACACATTGATGTGGTAGGGATTAACACATAAACTTGGATGTGTACATTCAGGATTTTTCTCCAACCTCTCCCCATCTGTGCTTTCGAGTGGTATTGCCTTAAACAAGATAACCATTACCAAGTCTAAACGCCATACCTTATCCGCTTGCCGCAAACAGTCGATTCGGCGCATTTTTCCTTTTTGATCGGGATTCGAAAGTACACAAATCGATTTTCGCTTTCCGGTGATGGACTGCACGAAATCCTCTCGACATTCCTGAGTAATATCTTTGCGCAGCTTACCTAGTAAACGGGATGCCCATTTTTGCTTCACCTCCGCCTTTTCATTCTAATCAATAGACAAAAATTGTACGAGTTTTGTTATTTTGAGTATTTTAAATATATACTGTTAAATGCGATAAACAAAAAATTGGTATTCAACCGCCTCGCAGTGGTCGGAAAAGCCATGTTTTACGCAAAAAATTAGAAGGGCTGTTACGATTATAATAAAACTGCGGGATCGTAGTATTGTTGTAATGCTAAACCGAATACCCCATACAAATTATAGTTTGACAGTTGACAGCTAGCAAATCAACTGCCGATTTCTCTAAAATTAAAAAAAAAATCTTTTTGAAAGTACCACTGGTTACGCTTTTTGACATGCTGATCAGGAATTTTATGTCAAATTAAAAACAGTTGACAGCTGTCAATTGAACTGCCACCGATTAGGTTTTAAGACATGGTGATCACGAATTTTATGTGGAATTAAAACTATGAGAGTTGACAGCTGTCAAATAAATTGTTAATTTTTCTAAGAATAAGGTAATATCTTTTAAGATTCTACTGATAAGGGTTCTAGAAATGCTAGTCACGCATTTACGTCGAACCCTAAGAGTTTACAACTGTCGAAGGGGCTGTCAATTTCCCTAGAAATAAGGAAAATTTCCCAAGATTTAAACGTACTATGTCTTAAGGCTCATTGATCTCGAGTTCTGTATCACACTTAACCTTTTTCGGTTGACAACTGTCAAAAAAACTGTAATTTTCAGTTGAGTAACACAATATATTTGTTTAGCAAAATTTTATTTATTATATACGAGGGAACATACATATCCAAAATTAATTTATGACCAAATTATGCAATAATAATAGTAATTATGTATATTTATAAATTAGGGATAGCTGGGGCCGTCTGCTATATGTTCAGCCCAAACAATTTAGTCTAGGGCCCAACAGTTTTTTTAAGATTTTTATTTTATACAAAATTCGTCATTTCCAAAACTTCGGTTATCTCATTTTTAAATAAAGTTATTCAGGTTTTAATTTTTGGAAATTTCGGACGCCATATTGGATTTTGCATTTTGAATTTTCAAAAACTAGTTTGAAATTTCTAATGAGCCAAAATTTACTGCTGCGTTGTTAAGACACATCTTATATACTATATGATGCTAAATATAAAATAAATTACATTAATCTTTAATATTTTAATAAAGTTTATGTTATTTGTAACAACTGCTAAAGTTGGTCTCGTGAAAAAATGGCCGCCACTCTTTTTGGCGCGAGTATGCGCGGCTTTTCTTTTCGTAGATCCTTAAAGGGCCCTTTGCATCAGTTCTTGGTAGGAATGGTGGAATGAAGATCCTACTCGGCCCTATTCATTAGCTATACCTTTTTAAAGAAAATATTTCTAAAAATAAGCCGCGTTTTAAGATATTGATAAAATTATCAATATTGCTAAATAGCAACCAAGTTTTATTATGTAATATTTCATATGAAAGCATCATATTCCATGTTTAAGAAGTAATACCAAACCAGAAATTACTGTTATAATTGAAAGTTTCCTTAAACAAAATTTTAAGAAAGCTATCAACTCATAACTGTTAGAACGTGCCACGATCGAATTCGGTGAAATAAACGGATTCAACGGCTTGCTCAGCAGGTATTATTGAAAATACTAATCAGTTTTGAGATCGTTGGACGTTTCTGAATAAGAATAGCTTTGTTCGGGTTAATTTATCACAGTTTTCAAATATGCCTTTTTAGCGTAAAACATGGCTTCTCCATGTCCATAAATTATAGAATATTTTACACTTAAATATATGTAGGTTCAAGCATGATGCTATTAAGTATACAAGGTATTGTACGTAGTGACAGACTACTTTGACACTCCCTTAGCTAAAAGTTGTATTTCGGAAGTATGAGAGAAATCAGGAGTAAAAAACGGCCTTTTTGTAACAAAGTACTATTTATTATAATAAATAATTAATCCAATTGGCGTCAGTTGGCCAAGAAGGAACGACTAAGGTGATTTGTTGGACTCGGCCAAAATCGCTTAGGCGGATACAGCGCCAAATAAGAAGGAGAATTAATCAAAAGAAGAAGAACGTTGTTTTTGCTTTTTTAATTGAAACCAATTATGTCTAAGTAATAGATAACTTTTATTTATTTAAATCAAGGTTCCGATTGCGGTAATTTCTGCGGCTGCTGTAGTCAAGTGGTTGGAGTGGACATCGGTAAAACCTGGATTCGATCCCTATTCCGATATATGGCAAAGGCATACCTTTGTGTACTTCTCTCATGAAAAAGCTTCTTAAAATCCACTCGCTGTTTATAGGCGGCGTAAACATTTGGGTGCTCCCTCTTGTGTAACAATATCAAAGCGCACACCAAAAATCAGAGGAGAAGTTCGAGAAAGCACTATCATACATACATACATATTTAAATGTAGGAACGACATTGCTATCTTTAAAGGTGGTATTTGCATCTTAAAATAAACATATCGCGTCCAAAATCCAAAACAGTCACAACTAAAAATTTAAAAAAAATTTTTTTTTTCATGCAACAGTTCATAGCCCCTTTAATCTAACGTCCGCCAAAATTTCTTCTTCATCACCATTTTCTTTAACTAGAAACTACTGTTTGCGTTCCCTCACTTGCCAGAAGTTGCAGGAATGGCAATATAGGCAGGGCCGGCTTGAGAAGCAATGACGCCCGGGGCGTAAATTGAACGAAGCGCCCTTTGATAATAATGCTTATTACTTCGGTTTCTTTTTCTTATACGATAATCAGTTGAAAAAATAGTAGAAATAAAAAAAGCCCAGTTTTCTATAATCAAAATCTTCAGATAGCAATTACAACAAGTTTACCTGCGTGCTTTGGCTTAAGCAAATCTTTCGATGGCTTTGGACAGGCCAATCTGCGTAACAATCACGTTTTCGATAGATAAGATAGCTTAAGCGTTTAATTTTTCTCGGGG